TGACTGCCCTTGCACTGTTCACCATGTAAGAACTTATTCACTATGTAAGAATTTGTTCATCATGTAAGAACTTGTTCGTTATGCTTCAGAAAATTGGAGACTGTTGAGAATTAGGCTTGGGGTGGATTAATGATTGTGCATTGAGTCCCCTAGACAGAATTTTATTGTTGTTAATAACCATTTGATCAAAAAATATGAGAGATGCCCTCTCAAAATAAAAATACTATAAAGATAAAAGAAAAAAAAGATATGCTGTGGTAAAAACAGAACCCCAGAACAGGGGAAAAAACACATTTATCTTTGAAGGAATGATGAGATTGTCATCCAAAACCTCAGCAGCAGTGATGGGATCTGGAAACTAGTGTGAATGGTATCTTCACAGTGGTGACAGAGAACAACTGCCACTCTAGTAAACCAGCCAAAATACCTTTTGAGAACAAGGGCAAAATAAAGTCATTTTCAGATGAACAAAACCCTAGAGGGTTTGCCTTAACAAACCCTCACTGAAGTAGATTTTAAAGAATGTTCTTCAGGCACAAGGAAAGTAACCCTAGTTGTAAGTTTTGAGATGCAAGAAGAAAAAGATGAACAAAGAAACTGGTAACAGTGTGGCTGATTCTAAACCGACATCGACTGTGTAAAACAATCCGGTAGTGACTCAGAATGAAAAGGAAAAGAGCAACCTTAAAACAGGCTACAATGAAGGCATATCATTTAGGGTGTAGATAATTAAAGTCAGAACATTCCAAGGTCCTTGTATTTTAAGAGAGCAAGGTAAAGATATAAAAATTGAACTTTCATAAGATTAGTATTCAGTTCAAAATTTCTTGGGCAATCATTGAAACAACAGAAGTAGAGTGTATAAGAAAAAGGAAAAAATGAATGAAAAAAATATCAGCCCTAAAGCAGCAAGAAAGGAGAGGAAAAAGAAAAAACAAGCATGAAAATACAAAGCACAAAATAAGATGGTAGAAATAAATCCAGATATATCAATAAATATAATAAGTGTAAATGGACCAAATGCTGTAGTTAAAAGACTAAGATTATCAAAAAACACTTTCTTATAATGAAATGTTTCAAGTATACAGGAAAGTGGGAACAAGAAATGAATCAGTATGCCTGCCATGCAGTCAACATTGTTAACTGTTTGCTATTTCTGTTTCATCTACATACATGTATCATTTATATATATACATTAAGAAACAAATTTTCTGTAGTAAACATTATATAATGAAATGAAATTTAAATGGCAATAGTGAAGGAGAGTGTACTTTGAGGCCAAACATCTGGGCTCCCAGCAATTTTTAATCACATAATCTGTGCGGTTATTAAAAGGCTTTCTCTCCAACAGTTTCTAGTGAGAGGATAGGAACCAGGTTAACTTTTGTGATCATTGTATTTCTAAATATTTTTTTCTATTAGTAAAGGACTCAGCACAGTGTTTGTTACATGGTGAACATTTAATGCAGTTGCTTTTATTTATTACAATTCATGCTGTTATTGAAAGCATTCAGCAGAGTAGCACAAAATAAAAAGTTAATAACTCGTAGCTTACTGTATTTCTATTTATTACCTAGTCTATGTCACAGAGCATAGCTCACATCATCACCCATCAACACTGTGTTTATACAACAAATAGTACTTTGTTATTATTCAAAATCTCTAACAGTACCTGGCACAACAAAAGCAAGGGAGAAGTGGAAGTTTACTATTACTTCTCACCGAGTGAGTCACTCGACACAACCGCTGGCCCCCATGGGCCCTGAGTAAATAATCTTTGCGACAAAGGTCCTCATTGCTGAGCGTCCCGAACCGGCCCCGCCTCTAGATCTGAGTGACGCCCCGCCCCCCGTCAGCCCCGCCCCGCGGCCGGTTTCGCGCCTGCGCATTGGCTAGGGAGGGGGCTATGCTCGCGCCCCTCCCCGCAGCCCTAGCGCGCGCAGGGCAGAGCCAGTCAGCCAGCTGCGTGCGTGCGTACGTCGCGGCGTGCGTGCGTGCCGTGCGCTCGCCGGGCACCACGGCCACGGCCTCGCCCTCCGCCCCTGCGCCTGCACCGCTTAGGCCGTCCCCCGCCCCCACCGCGCCCACACCCTAGGCGACCCCCGCCCTAGCCCCAGGCCGGCTCCCCCACTTTCCAAATTTAAACGGGGCGCAGCATTAAGGCCTCCCGCCTCAGGTGACCTCTCAGGGGTCTCCCGGCAGAGGTGCCCCGCCGCTGAGGAACATGGCGAAGGTGGAGCAGGTCCTAAGCCTCGAGCCGCAGCACGAGCTCAAATTCCGAGGTAAGCCCGGAGGCCCGCCATCTTCGGCCGCGGGCCAGGCCCCCGCCCGCGTCACCCCCCGCCCTCCCCCCCGCGCTCGCGAGGGACCGGCTGGCGTGGCGGTGACGTCGCCCCCGCCCGCCCGGGGCCCCGCGGCCGGCACGCCTGCCCCGCGCCCCCGGCGGTGCGTGGAGCCCAGGCCTGCGCTCCGCCCGGCGCGGGGCTCGCCCTGGAGGCACTGGACGAGTGGCCGCTTCTCTGCCGCTGTCTAGGCGCGGCCGTCCGCCCTGGAGTGTGAGCGCCGGCGGCTCCCTCTGCCTGGAAGGTCTTCCCTGCCCTCTGCAGGGTTGACCTGTTCAGGTCTTGTACGGATGTCACCGCGTGGGGGGCCTACTCTGGCCCCCCCACCCCCGCGTGGTCACCTGCAGTCACTCCCCGTCACGCCTCCGCTCCGTCGTTGGCACGGCACGCACCGGTACATAAAAGGACCATTTTACGCACTTGTTTACTGTTTCTGCACTAGAAGGGAAACTCCATGAGGACAGGACCTTGTCAATTCTCTGCTCCATGCCCAGCACACATTAGGAGCCTAATAAATATCTGTAGAACAGATGAATGAAAGGCACCTCCGCAGGAGTTCTGATGACGCGTGGCCCACCCGCCCTTCTGCTGGTTTCCTCACGCCCATTGCTCGCGTTTGTGCAGCTGGGGGGCTCCGCCGGGGTGGTGAGGTCCTTTTGCCCCCAGAGCAGCCTGAAAAGCGCCAGAGGAAGGTTAGTGTGCCACGTGTGTTCGTGGGAAGCCAGGACCCTTTGTAATGTGTACCTTTATTTTTTTTGTCGTTCCCTCCCCCTCCCTGCCCCCCTCCTCACCTTTTTCCCCAAAATATAAGTGCCATGGATTAAAAGGGACCTTACCTGATTTGCTCAGTCCTTCCTTAAATACGTTAACTATATGGTTGTGCTTGGCACTGGAGAGAGAACGAATGAGCAAGACAGACAAGTCCTTTGCTCTATTTAATAGAGCTATTCCTTTTCATGAGGGGAGACAAACTAGCAAACAGTATTCCAGATAGTGGAAAATGCTGGGAAGGACATGAAACAGTCTGAGGTGATGACAGTGTACTTGAGATTGAACAGCCAGGTCACCACTGTATCGCCAGCACTTGGCCCACAGCTTGTGCTTAATAGATGTTTGTAGAATGAATGATGGCCAGAGGCACCCCAGTTTATATATATTGGCAGGAAGTATTACCCAGTTGTCAAATGGCACATTTGAACCCCAGCTTTAGAGCTCAAACTCTTAATGATTATGTGGTCTGATACCTGGGAGATACTCCACAATTGTGGCTGTCGCTTTGTCTCCCAGTTAACAATCTGAAATGACTCCAGATGTATAAAGAAGCAAAACTTGCCAGTTAAAATGAAAACAAACAAATAAAACCCCCCCAAAAAACAAAAAAATGGATTATAATTCTACAACAGGACTTTAGCTTGCGTGATGTTCTTATGGCTTTTCCCTAGAGGAGCCAGATTGGGAAGGGGATCCAAGTAGCTGAAGTGAATGTGGAGGGTGATGCTAAAATTCTCTACCCCTGAAGTGTGGTCTGGCTTCTCCTGGGAATTGGCACATTTATTCATTTGGTCCACAGATAATTGCTTAGTGCCTGCTTCATGTGTCAGGTACCAGTGAAGATGAGTCACATCACATGTATCCCCCCCTAGCACCCTCAAATCTCCCACCTCAGAATTTAAGCCTGCAAAAGGGAGCAGAGGACAAAATCAACCAGGACAATGAAATAAATGATCTGAGGTAATCTAGAATGCCCAGAGAGTGCCAAGGAGGTCAACTCCTGAAAGAGATGTCATGTGAGCTGAGTTCAAAGGCCAAATGGAAGCAGACCAATATAAATGAGTGGGGAGCATGTCTGGCAGAGGAAATTGCATATATAGAGGCACAAAGGCTGAGATGACTGGGCTTCTTTGGGATTCCACAAGTTGATCTGAATGACAGTAGCAAAGGGCATTTGCTGGGTTGGAAGGCAGAGTAGGAGATGAGGCTGGCCAGTACACAGGAGTCAGATCTAAGGCCTTCTGTGCACAGAGGCTCCAGTGCCCAAGTTCAAGTTGCATTGCTTCTCAGCTATTCCTTCCTTGCTTGATCCCCTGCAACCATAACATACACCCCATACCCAGTGCCTATACTCTCCTCTAATGTGATATGGAAAGAGACAGTAATTTGAGAAAATTAAATTTTTGTCCTAGTTCTTTTCACTTACAGATGTTTGACTTTGGGCTGGGCTCTTCTCTCCCCAAAGCCTGGTGTCCCTCTTCAGTCCATGGGAATGGTGCTCATATCTACCTTGCCTCCTGAGAAGTTAGTTTCAAAGGAGTAATGTTATGGCTATTTAGCAGCCTTGTAAATGCTCAATATTAAAAGATTTTGGTGGTTGTATTTACACGACTGGTTTCATCATTTCAACTTCTTTACCTAAAAGGTATAGCAGAGAACAGTATGGCCCTGGATTGCCCAGGTCAAAGTCACTGGGTATTTTTGCTAGAGAAGTGGTCTAAGGAAGTTGTGGTGTCGTATTGTTGAGGGCTGTTGGCTCATGATTTGAGAAGAGGCATCTGCAGGCATGTGTAAACCACTTTATGAGATTGTTTTAAACTGAGCCCTAAGACAATGAAATTAGAGGCTCTGTGCTGGCTTGCTGTATAGAGATCATTCATTTCAGGATGAGAACAAACTGGCACATTTAACTCGTCTCTTCCAAGTTACTCAGGGTGATGACTGATTTTGGATGGTTTACTTATCAAATTTGTAAGCTAACTTTGCTTAAGAAATCAATTAAATGCCTGAAATAATGCAACTTCCTTATCATCTAAAGGAAAAAAATAAATAAGCTTTTAAAGGAAGTAAACAATCTTTTAAGTCCAGCCTACATTGATACGGGATTGTATATTGGGTTCTTTTTCATGTTGGGTATTTTGTGTGAAGTTAAGGATGTTACAGAGGAAAAGAACACAGACTTATATGCCTTGTGTTAGGTATCAGAGTGAGAAAGACTGCTGGCCCCCTCAAAGAAGCATGACACCTTGACATTTGCTATGGCAAAATAGTAGAAGCTCTTTTGGGGACCTTTCTGAAAGAGTTAAGGGCTTCTGGAAACCTGTGAAATGTGTACTTTGTATATCCCCCTGTCTGTTGATCTCACTTCTTCTTAGTCCTAATCCTTTTCTTTCCATCTCCTTACTCCGAAGTCTCACCTTTCTGAATGAGTCACTTTCAGGACATTTTGTATCTCTCTCTTTTTTTTTTTTTTTCTCCTTTGTCCCTTCCATCAATTCCATCCATGGTAAATAATATGTCTTGTCCTTTGTGGTCATTGTCCAAGACTCTTTCTTAATCCTTCTTCACATCCTAGCACACCATGCCCCAGGGTGCACCCCCCAACCCCCATCGCCCCATACATACCTTGATACTGTTACATGAGAATGGTCTGTTAATTGTCCTCATGAGCTGTTTGGTTAAAGTTTAAATTTATCGTGGACCCATTTACCATTGCTTTATTCTGACACTGAACCATTGGCCTTCAGTAAGTCTCAGACAGCCCAGCTGGTCAGTAGGGTTATCAGGTGGAACAGCACAAAAGCATTGGTTTTGGTTGATTACCCTTTGGGGAGAAAAAAGCAACTGTTGATGGTAGATAGGTTAGGGACGCTCCTTTTGTGTAAGGCATGCTTAGATTGTTGGTTCACCAGCTTAAGTTAATGTGTAGTTTGATATTGTTTAGGAAGTTAAAAACTATAAAACCTGTAGATACAGTCAGTTCAAAAAGTAGTTATCTCTCATGTCCTAAGTACAGCATGAATTCTTTAGTTTTAGTATGGCACTGATTTCTGTAGCATTTCGTGATCATAAAGAGCAGTCTGTTTTCTTTTTTTAATTTTGTTATCATTAGTCTACAATTACATGAAGAACATTTTGTTTACTAGGGTCCCCCCCCAAACCCCATTACAGTCACTGTCCATCAGCGTAGTAAGATGTTGTAGAATCACTACTTGTCTTCTCTGTGTTGTACAGCCCTCCCTGTCCCCCCAACATTATACATGCTAATCGTAATACCCCCTTTCTTCTTCCCCACCCTTATCCCTCCCTTCCCTCCCATTCTCCCCGGTCCCTTTCCCTTTGGTAACTGTTAGTCCATTCTTGGGTTCTGTGATTCTGCTGCTGTTTTGTTCCTTCAGTTTTTTGTTCTTAATACTCCACATATGAGTGAAATCATCTGGTATTTGTCTTTCTCTGCTTGGCTTATTTCACTGAGCATAATACCCTCTAGCTCCATCCATGTTGTTGCAAATGGTAGGATTCGTTTTCTTCTTATGGCTGAATAATATTCCATTGTGTATATGTACCACATCTTCTTTATCCATTCATTTACTAATGGACACTTAGGTTGCTTCCATTTCTTGGCTATTGTAAATAGTGCAGCGATAAACATAGGGGTGCATCTGTGTTTTTCAAACTGGGCTGCTGCATTCTTAGGGTAAATTCCTAGAAGTGGAATTCCTGGGTCAAATGGTATGTCTATTTTGAGCATTTTGAGGAACCTCCATACTGCTTTCCACAATGGTTGAACTAATTTACATTCCCACCAGCAGTGTAAGAGGGTTCCCCTTTCTCCACAGCCTTGCCAACATTTGTTGTTGTTTGTCTTTTGGATGAAGAGCAGTCTGTTTTAACAGTACAACATGTCATCCGTGTGCTTAAGTTCATTCTTTATAGTAGTGGTTTAAAGCCATCCTGAGTAGATTATCTTAATTTATTTAATCATTAACCAGCTTGCTCATCAGAAGCAAGTGGTGTTAAACTTACTAAGCTGTAATCAAACTTAAAATTTTTGTAGATTGTGCTATTTACTTCTGAGTTTTTGTTCCTGGAGAAAAATGTGAACTAGAAGTTAACTTTTATCCACTTGTTTACTTCCATTCTTCACAGTTAATGCCTTAGGGGGGAAA